AGTGAAATAAATAGGACACACATATGTAAATGTTGAATAGTTTCTCTTTGGTGTGAGAAAGTGAAAGTATAATAAGGACCAAAATGTGTAATAGATGATGTGAAATAGGATGTAAAGGTCCAAAGGGGAGGAAGGGGTAGGGGAAAATTTAAACAAAATCTTTGTAAATGGCAGGGGTGGTACAGAAGGATTGAAGGGAGGGCAAGGGAATGGGGAAAAAAATAAGAACCAAGATATATCATGTACAAGTACAAATTCCCAATGATGAATATCATCATATAGTATACCTAAAATGTACCAATAAAGTTAATGAAGTACAAAAATTGTTAATGTAGCTCAGCAAAAGCTTGTCTGCCAGAGCCTGCAATGTCGATAATGCCCCAGATATGTGCTGTAAGTAGTGCAGGCTGCAAAGAGATAAATTCCTCAATTGGCTTTAAGAAACAAGTTTGGGGCTGGGGATTTAGCTGAGTGGTTCTGCCTCCTGCCTCATAGAGGAAGGTCTTGTGGAAAAAAAAAAAAAAAAAAAAAAAAAAAGTCTGACAGAAGCTATGTGACTCACAGAAGTATCTCATGAGCACTGTGGTGGCAGGAAGGTTAATACGACCTCCCTGCTAATGGCCATGGCCAAGACCAGAGTAATGGCCTATAAAGCTATGGGGCTGCTATGAGATAACATCCACAGCTGAGGTCAGAGTAATTACATCCAAATTCCAGTCCCACAGTTAGAGCCTTCATAGCTTGAAGAACAATGTTCTAAATACAACTATATATTTGTCTATCTTGCTTCTAATTTGAAAATGCTTTGATTTCTCTTTAAAGCCTTGCAAGCATTGGTTTCCATGGAGATCTCACTTACTGCACATCTATACATGCACCTTTATCCTGATTGATGAATAATAAAATTTGGTGGAAGAGGCGGGCCAATGCCTTTTGCCAAAAGAGCATTGGCCAACCCAGTTCACACTTTCTCTTTAACTCTGGCTTAAATTTTTCTTCAACCTTGAGTCACACACTGGGCAGGTGGGGACTAGAGATTCATGCAATAAAATCCAAGGTTTAATCCTAAATAGTGCAAAAAAAAAAAAAGATGATTCAGCTATTTGTGCCATTATTCTGCTAAAGGAGTTTATTTGATTTTTTAAATATATGCACAAATAACCTTATAGGCAAAACTATCATTTGTTCAAAATGAGGAATAATCTTTCACATAATTATGTCAATATATTTTCTGCAGCTACAGGTATGTGTTTTGGGTGCAGTTTTAAAAAATAATGACTAACTTTTGAAGTAGATTTAGATGATAAAACTTCATAGGATTGTTCAGTGGATCAGTGGAAGGTGTGGACTAAGGGAGAGAGAGAGAGAGAGAGAGAGAGAGAGAGAGAGAGAGAGAGAGAGTGTGTTTGATTGGCCTTGAGATGAGATTAGATGAGGCTTTGCTGTGTTGAGGCCAGACCCTTCCCTTTTTAATTTTTTCCTGACAGCCAGAAGGGCCAGGATTTTATTGACAGGTGTCATATCCCTCCTCTCCCCTGGCCTGAGGATGCCCCTGAATGGCTAACTTCTGCCACTTCTGCAGCTGCTTTGACAGCTCCCCCAGCTCTTGCAGCGCTAATAGGAGCTAAGGTTAGCTGAAGGCCATGAGGTCTCTTCCCCAACCCAGGAAGCTTTAGGTTGTGTTGCCACCTGTTTGTGGGGAAGCTGGAAGACCATTCATGATAGGGCAAAGATTGAGGACAGACTAGGGCCCATTGCTGATTTTCCCCACATCCCAAAACTACAATGGTTAATTTTGAGCATGAGACTTGAACTTCAAAAGTTGGAGGCAATAGTCATTTCAGTCCCACTACTTTCCAAGAAACAGGAGTTAGCAATCAGATAGTGACTTCTTAGATTGGTGTGAGTTTTACAATGAGGCTGTTCTGTACTCCCAAAGCCTCTGTTAGAGACACTTGCCTTGGTCACAGCAGGCTTCAAACATGGACCTCTACCAGATGACTCCACCCTGTAACCAGCAGATGACCCACACCCCACTGTCACTACTTTGAAAGTCCATAAATAGTTCTGAAGAATGCAGAAGATTGTGTCCTTAACCTCCTGTATATAAGCAACATTCTCTTACTAGTAGGGTTAGTTGAGGAGACCTTCCTCTGGTGTACCACCTTCCTGTCCTTCAGCATGGTCCCAAATAAAAACCTTGCTAGGTTTAATTGACTACTCCTGGCTTTTATCACAGGTAGAATGGGAAGAGGGGATTGCACTAAAAAAATACTGGTAACAGTAGGGGCTATTAGTGCTGAAGAGCTCCAGAGAGTGGCAGAGATCTGATGATTTCCTTGAAGACAGCAGAAGGAAGCTGCTGCAAAAGTTCCAGAAAGCTTCCAGGGGGCTGTGGAACCTGGCTGCTGAGGAGCTGAGAGATGAATGGGAGCCACCAGGAACAGAGACACAAGGAGCTGTAACACATGGTTTGGCTGGGAGCAGGGGTTAGGTTGGCCAGGCCTTGTGGTATGCAGCTTCAGCTATGGGACTATGGCCACTGGGCTTGTTGCTTTCCTGCACTCCACTCTGCTGGTCAGCAGGATGTGATGTGCCATGTAGTGATGGCGTGGATTCCTCTTGTATTCTTGGGCACTGCTTTGAGCAGCGCCACCCTTTACACCAGAAAGCCGGTAGGCACTATGAGGAAACAAAACAGAAGAAAATGGAGGAGGTACTAGAAAACAAAGAAGAGGAATTTGTGGTGGAAAAAGTTCTTGATCATCGAGTTGTAAAGAGCCAAGTGAAATACTTCCTCAGGTGGAAGGCTTCCTCAGAGGAGGGCAACACATAGGAGTCAGAAGAGAACATGGGCTGCCCTGACCTCATTGCTGAATTTTTACAGTCACAGAAGAAAGCACAGGAGACAGGTAAATCAGAGGGAGGCAGGTCAAAACTGATTCTGATCCTGAACATTAGGGAGAGGAGGTCAAACCTGGGAAGATGAAGAAAAAAGTCAGAAAAGCTTTGCTAGGGGTTTGGATTTTTGGAACCACAGACTCCATCTGAGAGTTTATATTCCTTGTTGAAATGGAAGAACTCTGATGAGGCTGACCTGGTCCCTGCCAAAGAAGCCAGTGTTAAGTGCCTGCAGGTCATGTCCTTCTACGAGCAAAGGCTGACATGGCATTCCTCCCCCTCAGAGGATGATGACAAAAAAGATGCCAAGATTTAAGACTCTCCGAGTACCAGCTCCAGGCACCTCTGATTGTCGGTTTTAAGTGGGGAGGGAAGAAGTTATACTTATTTTGATCCCATAAGATGACTTGAGAAGATGTCCTTTGAAGAGCCAGTATAGTTAGTTTCTAAGTCCTGAAATGGCCTAAATTTAAAGCCATTCTAAGCTGTTTATAATTTACAGAGCCATTCCAGTGGAGGGGGATGGGATAAGTGTTTCTTTCTTTTTTTTGTTTTTTTGAGACAGAGTTTCACTATGTAGTTGAGACTGACTTGGAACTCACTATGTAGCCCAGGCTGGTCTCCTACTCACAGTGATCCTCCTGCTTCAACCTCCCGAGTGCTGGGATTACAGGCGTGCACCACCACACCCGGCTCAAAGTCATCTTGGTTGATTTTAATAACTATGAATAAAACTCCATAACCTATGGAAAACCTAATAGGAATATTTTGTTTAGCTATGGACCTCTAAAAATGGTGATAAAAGCAAGTTTCTAAAAGCCAGAGAAGAGAGAATGTTTATTCAAGTCTCCCTTCAGTTTCATTAGTTCTATGTGTATGGTGCTATTTGTGTCTTTCCAAAATTCTTATGTTGAAACCTAATCACTAATGTGATCGTATTAGGAGGTGGAGCACTTTGGAGGTGATTAGCTCAAGAAGTCTCTAATGTCACGAATGGTATAAAAGCCCTTACAAGGCCCCAGAGAACTGTTTTTCTCTTCTATCATGAGAACACAGCTAAAAGGCACCATCCAGACACTAAATCTGCTGGCAATGTGGTCTTAAACTCCTTGGTTCTAGAACTGTGAGAAATAAATTTTTGTTTATGGTTGACCTTATTCATGGTATTTTGTTACAGCAGCTTGAATGGGCTGAGATTTTGCTTGATTTATTCTACATTAGTTCTCTTATCAGAAAACAGGGAATAATAATAATACTTATAGCACTTAGAGGACACATGCCCCGCCACTGAATGCTGTTTAAATTGAAGTATTTATTCCTCTATGTAGTAGGCACTAATATTATCCCTATATTATAGATGGGGAAATAGTCAAGAACAATTTGCCCAAGGACACTCACACAGTAGTAAGTTGGAGTTAGTAAATGGAGAATTGGACAGCCTGGACAACAGTTTAAGGGTTTAATCTCTAAAGTAAATGGTGTACTCAAGAGGGGTTGGTATGAAGATTGAACGAGATAAAATAGGGAGTGTTTGTCACATACAGTTCATAGTCCAGCACCTCCCAATATGAGAAAGTGCTCTGGCATAGAGTTTGCTATTCCAAAGGCTGCTGAGAAAGTATTGTCAATATTTTAGTTTTCTACGGTGATCTTGTTTACATAGGGGCCAAACCCTTTTCTCCTTCAAGCCTTACACTATCTAGCTGTGACCTCCAGTCTTTTAAGTGCACTTATCAGCCCCAAGTCTGTCTCCCCAAATTCCTTGCAGATGTAAACACCTACTCAATGAACTGCCCTCCTACTTCTGATCCTATTACTAGTCTATTTTTTGAGACTGAGTCTTGCTATGTAGCCCAGGCTGGCCTCGAACTCACAGTAATCCCCTGCCCACAGCCTTCCAAGTGCTGGGAATATAGGTATGAACCACCATGCCCAGCTTGGTGTTCTAAAAAAAATTTTTTTTAACTAAAAGAGTGATGCGTTCTGGATAGCTTTAGTTCTTCCAGTCCTTCTTTAATTCATGTATTTATTCCACAAATAGTTGATGATATATGAATGATGGTTAAGTTTAGGATCGATTTGATAGGTTAAAGAATATTTAAAGAAGAGATGAAACATTATTCCCTGATGTATCTGTGCAGATGTTTCCAGAGGACCTTGGTGCATGTTGGTGGACTGAATGGGGAAGAACTGCCTTTCAGTGGGCAGGCACTGTCCAATCAGTAGGGGACCAGATAGAGCACAAAGGGTGGAGGTGAGGTGGTTTCTTCATGTTGCCAACATGTTCTTCCCTTTGGACATCAGGACAACAGGAACTTTGTATTCCAGGACTTGCATCTATGGCCTTTGCTCTTAGAGGGATGACAATTACATAACTGGCTTGATTGGGCCACATGGCTGGCATCGCGGCATCTCCAGTTTGCAGTCTGCCTGTTGTGGGACTTCTCAGCTGCAATAATTGTGTGAGCCAAATTCCCTAATTCCTCCTCATATATCTCTTTCTATCTATCCTATTGGTTTTATTTTCTTGGGGGAACCTGACTATACAATTGGTGGTGGGCACATAGGTAGGCTCTGGGGAGAAAAAAATGTAATGGCATGATTCCTCCTTCTAGGAAAGTTATGGTCATGGTTAGGATTAGTGTTTTCTGCTTCTCCTGATAGCATTCATGTGTAGATTGTTACTACCTGGACTGTCCATCCATCCCTGCCTCCTTTGTGGACTCTTACTGACCTGTAGGAAGTAGAACCCAAATCACTGCTTCTGTGAAGTATTTCCAGCTTTGCCAGGCGATGGCTCACCCTCCTGTGCAGCCTCCTTAGACTGTGTCTGTGCTTCTGCTCTGGCCCCTGTCACGCTGCATTGCATGTTTAGTTACCTTCCTGAGTCCCCCTCTAGACAGTGGCTCCTTCACTGTCAGACTAAGACAGAGACCCTTCAGAAAAAGGTAGGAGTAACTGACAGCTGTTGTGTTTCTGTTGAAGGAGAAGGACACACACTCACCATGTGGCTCTACCTGTTAGCCCTTGTGGGCCTGTACCACCTTGTGCGCTGGTACCGAGAGAGGCAGGTGGTGAGCAACCTCCAAGACAAGTATGTGTTCATCACGGGCTGTGACTCGGGCTTCGGGAACCTGCTGGCCAGACAGCTGGACATGCGAGGCTTGAGGGTGCTGGCCGCGTGTCTGACGGAGAAGGGGGCCGAGCAGCTGAGGAAGCAGACGTCGGCACGGCTGGAGACGGTGATCCTGGACGTCACCCAGACAGAGAGCATCGCTGCAGCAACCGAATGGGTGAAGGAGCGTGTGGGGGACAGAGGTATGAAAGAATATGACAAAGATGCAAGGTCATATACTGCACAGGTAACAAAAGCAGGGTTTAAAAGGGAGATTTTGACATTTGAAGAAATATCATGACCATTGTGGTATTTTATTTCATTAATAATGTTTACCTTGAACAAAGAGCTTGAAAGATAATAAGACTATTATTTCATCTTGCAGGAGGTATTTATAGACATTGCTATGTTTGAAGAATTCTCTCTCTTTCTTTAAAAAAATTAAAAAAAATTCTAGTACTTGTATTTGAACCCAGGGTCTTTCCACTGAGCTACATCCCTAGCCTTTGTAAAAATTTGGAGCCACCGTGTGTTCAATTAACTCTGTTGACCAGATTGAGCTGGAACTTGTGATCTTTCTGCTTCTCAGAGTGTTTGGATTGTGGGCATGCACCACCACGCCCAGGTGAAGAATTTTCAAGCACTGATTTGAGCCTATAATCCTGGCACTCTTGATTCAAAATTTAAAAAATTTAAACAGGGTTTGGGAAGTAGCCCAGTGAGAAGTCCCTGTGTTTAATCCCCAGTACCACGAACAAAGAAACAAAAAAGCTGCTTTGTCTTCCCTCTATTGCTATTAAAATACAGCTGTTCCACAGAGTCAGCCTTTGGTCACCTTGAAAACAATTTTATTTATTTCATGTAAATATATTTATATATTTTCAAAATTAATGTACCTCATTTCTTAGAGCAGTTTTAGGTTTATAGAAAGTGGCTAGAAATGACAGACTTCTTATTTTCCCCTATTATCAACATCTTGCCTTGGAGCTGTGCATTTGTTACAACTGATGAACCAATGTTTCTGTTACTGTTAACTGAAGTCCATAGTGTACTTTAGTGTTAACTTTGTGCTGTGCAGTTCTTTAGATTGGAGAAATGAACATGTGTATACACTGTAGTGTCCTGCAGTATAGTTTCATGCCTAACACCAGTTCTTGTTCTCCACATATTTATCACCACCCTTCCCACCCTCTGGCAGCTACTGTTCTTGTGGTTGTTTCCATATCTATATCTATATCGATATCTATATCTATATCATCATCTGTGTCTATTCTAGACAGGGAAGGGTGGAGGGGCTGAAGGGAGAGCTGGGAAGTGAGGGAAAGATAAGAACCAAGATAAGTCATGTAAGGGTACAAAATCCCAATGATGAATGTAACTGTATTGTATACCTAAAATGTACCAAAAAATTTAATAAAGATTAAAAAGAAGAAAACAAAAGAGTATGGCCTCAATATACATACATTTAGGTATTAATGTCTCTACTTTCTCATTCTTTGCAAGAAATTTTTATGGAGTTTATTGGTACATTTAGGTATACTTTATAAGCACATTTATCATTAAGAATTTGTACCTGTACATGATGCATCTTGATTCTTATTTTTTCCCATTCCCTGCCCTCACTTCAACCCCTCCATTCCCCATATACATAAGCTTTGTTTCCATTTTTTCTTTAGTGCTTTCAATTTTTTTCTGACCCTTCTTTCCTTTCCCCTGCCCCCCACCCCCAATTCCCCTTTCCCTTTAAACATTTTCTTCCTGTTTCACAATATCTGTTATACATTTTGGTCCTCATTTACACCTTCAGTTTCTCATACCAGAGAAACGATCCGGTATTTACACGTGTGTGTCCTATTTATTTTACTTAAGAATGTGGCCTCAAGGTGCATCCATTAACTATAAGTGTCTCAAGTTTATCTTTATTTATGGCTAAGTAGTACTCCATTTTATAAAAAAACTCCACATCTTTTTTATCCAGTCACTGGTTGATGGGCATTTATTTGGACTGCTTCCAAGATCTAGCTATTACAGTGGCCTCTCTTAACCATTTTTATATTCCAGCTTCTGGGACATTGCCTATTGCGCAATTCATCAAGGGATGAATGCATACTGAAGGGAGTCTAGCTACTCCTTATTTTATCTATTACCTTTTAAAATTTTTATTTTTTAGCCTGGTATGGTGGCGCACGCTTGTAATCCCAGCACTTGGGAGGCTGAGGCAGGAGGATCGCTGTGAGTTTGAGACCAGCCTGGGCTACATAGTGAGTTCCAGGTCATTCTCAACCACATAGTGAGACCCTGTTTCAAAAAAAAACAAAAAAAAATAACAGCTTTATTAAACTATAACTTACATATCACAAAATTTACTAACTTAAAGTGTAGCTTTTAGTAGGGTAGATTCAGTAGATTTTAGCACATTGACAAAGTTATTTTGGATGCGAGGCTCTTTTCCTCAGCCTAGGATTAAGGAGCAGAGCTCAAGCCAGGACATGTCTCTGTTCATGGTGGAAGTCTAAGGTGGCAGTCCACACCCAGAACAATGCTGGATGCAGAGATCCACCTATGGTGAGAACAGGGTGCCAGTGTGAGCTTCCAATCCTATGTAACTCAAACTGAACCTGGCCTCTGACCACAAGAACCAGTTCCATTCTGGAAACTTGAACGGTGAAGTGTGGCTTGGAGCTAAAGGACAGCTCCAGGTCCCAAGTTGAAATACAACCCTACCCTACAGTGGCACCCCTGCCAGCTCTTGCTCTAATTAGACCTTAGAAAATGTTGAATTTCTTCTTTAATTTCATCTTTGACTCACTGATTATTCAAAATGGTAGTGTTTAATTTTTATGTCTTTGCATAGTTTCTGTGGTGTCTTTTGCCATTGACTTCCAGTTTCACACCACTGTGGTCCAATAACACGCATGGGAAAATTTCAGTTCTTTGCGTTTACCTAACTGTGCTCTATGGGCTAGTGTGTGGTTTATTTTGGAGAAAGTCCCATATGCTGCTGAGAAGAATGTGTACTCTGTTGTTCAGTGGTATACTCTGCAAATATTTATTAAGTCCACTTGTTTGAAGGTTTGGTTCAGCTCTGATTTTTTGGTGGTTTTTTAAAAACCCAGTTGATCTGTCCCTTTTGTGAGAGTGGGGTACTGACATTCCCATTATAATTGTATTGCCTTTCATCTGATTTTTCATGTCCATTAGTATTTGTTTTATGAAGTTAGGTAAGCCAGTTTCTGGTATATATTGATATATATTTGTAATTTTTATCTCTTCTTGTTGAACTGTTTCCTTAACCAATATGTAGTGACTTTCTTTATTTCTTCTGATCAGCCTTGCCTTGAAATCCACTTTATCTGAAATTAGGATAGCAACTCTTGCTTTTTTCTGGGTCCCTGCTGCATGAAATATTCTTTTCCATTCTTTGATTTTCAATCAGTATCTTCTTGAATTAGATGTGTTTCTTATACTGCATATCATTGGTTTGTGTTTCTTGATCCATTCTGCCAGTCTATCTTTGATAGGGAAATTGAAACCATTCATACTGAGAATTACTACTAAGTGATATTGACTTGTTCTTGTCACTGCACTATTTTCCTGTTATTGATTTCTTCATTTTCCCTCCAACCTGCTTAGCTGTTCATCTCACCAGGTGTATTCATTCTTTGTGATGTATTGGCCTTTTTGGCTTTTTTGTCTCTTTCTAGTATATCCTTAAAATTTTTTTGTAATGTTAGTCTGGTGATCATGAATTTCTTGAGTTGCTCCTTGTCATGGAAATACCTTATTTGTCCACCAACTTTATTTATTTATTTATTTAGGGTACCGGGGATCGAACTTGGGACCTTGTGCTTGCAAGGCAGGTGGCAGAATCACTGAGCTAAATCACCAGCCCTTTGTCCATCAACTTTAAGGAAAAGTTTTTCCAGATACATAAACTGGGGTTGGTAGTTGTTATTTTTCAGGGCTTGGAAGACTTCACTCCAAGCCCTCCCACCCTTTAAACTTTGTGTAGAGAAGTCTTTAGTGATCCTTATTGGTTTACTTCTATATGTGACTTGTTGCCTTTCTCCAGCAGCTTTTTTTTTTACATCTCTCACTCTTGTTTTGTTTTTTAAAATTAATTTTATTGGCACATTTTAGATACACATAATGATAATTCATCATAG